ACTCTTTCCTGCCTATGCAGGGGGTCGGACTCGATGATCTATTGAGGTCCCTTCCGACCCTAACATCTATGAATCTATGAGACACCCCCTTTTTTCCTGCTGGGCAATGAATAAGGAGACCTGCATCTCCCTGTCTTTTTGGGTGCAGACGTTTCATCCCAGGAACGAAAATATGCTGCTTCTCCCAAATGGGCGAAGGGATCTTGGCTGGTTAAAGGGGAAAAGAGGGCCCAAACTGAGGTGAGAGTGACCTCCAATCCATGCCATGTGACTGAGGCACCGTGGAGCTCAGCCAGCCAGTGCCAGATGGTAAAGCTTCAAGCTGGCTTTCGCAAGGAGGAGTCTAGAAAGGTTTCCCTTCATTTATTGTTGGGGTTGGTGGCGGCTGCATTGCCGAAGAGGCATGTCGCAGCTCAGGGAAACACTGCTTCCAGGCAGCCTCTCCATCCCTGCTGCCATTCCCAACTTTTAGTGGAGTAGTGCATCATGGCTACAGGCAGTCTTTACAGGGCACAGTGCCTGGGGTCTTTAAAGTAGCAGCCTGTTATAGGCATCTTCTGAAGGGAAGGGTGGAGAGCCAGTTCCCTGCACAGCAGATTTGCAGGGCTGAAGCTGCTTGTTGTCTTTGGCAGACAGTCCTCATTTAACAGCAAGCCTTAACCAAACAGACAACAGCTCCCAGTCTTTGACACCTGCCCTTGATGGCTCATCCAGGCCTCCTTTCTGCAGAAAACAGGCTGCCTGGTGTGGGGCTGGATCAAGGCAGAGGCTGCAGCACGCAAGGCCAAAATAAATTGACTTTGAGCTAAGCACTGTTAACCCCCCCGAGCACTTCTGTCAGGAGCTCCTCAGCACAGTGAATCCATCTTCTCTGACACCTAGTCAGCGTCCAGTCTCAAAGAGCAAAAGCCATCAGGATATCTGCAACCAAGGGCAGCAGTGCTGGACTCAAGAGGGTACTCTTGCCTCCAGTAAGTTATTTTGTCTCTCTGTTTCCACCCAGGGGCCTCTGACAGTTTTCTCAGCCAAAAACAAGTGGCACCCGGCACGGAAAGTTCACCTGGTCCGAGGAGAGAGCGGCTTTGGATTCACGCTTCGAGGGGATTCCCCTGTGCTCATTGCCGGAGTGATATCCGGGGGCTGCGCAGCGGTGAGTACTTACTGCCTCCTTGGGAAAGATCTAGAGAAGCTCGGCAGCTCTCTCTGCCAGGGTTGCCTGATAAGTCCCTATTATAAGGCCCTGTTTTCAACTGCCTGTGACTGTCAGATTGTGACTTTTGGGGAGCTGAAATGGTGTACGTGGAGGGGAGGATTGAGATCAAGACCAAGAGAAAATACATTATTTTGAGCATGTTAAACTTTGGGAATGTCTGGGACAAAGTCTTCTTGAAGAGTAGCGTTCAGCAGAGGAGGGCAGCCTTGTATCGGAGCTGGGTCTTGTGTCACTCCCGTGAAAAGCTGTCCTGGTTGCACGTCTTGGAGCCAGTGCCAGCCACTTCTCACCCCATAGCCTGGGCTAAGGCCAGAGTCATAGAAAATGAGGGTGGAAGGGACCTCAGGAGGTCCCATCTAGTCCAACCTCCTGCTCAAAGCAGGCCCAGCCCCAACTACATCATCCCAGCCAAGGCTTTGCCTGATGGGTCTTAAAAACCTCCAAAGATGGAGATGCCACCACCTCTCTGGGTAACCTGTTCCAGTGCTTTACTATTCTCCTCGTGGGAGAGGTTTTTTTTTTTCCTCATATCTAACCTCAACTTCCCCTGCTGCAGCTTGAGCCCATTGCTCCTTGTCCTGTCATCTGCCCCCACTGAGAACAGCCCAGCTCCAGGATGGGGAGTCTTTACACTGACTTTGCTGAGCCCTGGATCAGCCCTTGTGACCCTAGGGCCCTTAAACACATGCTGAGCTTTAAGCATGTGAATCACCCCATGGAACTGTAGGGTTAGAAAGGGTCTCGAGGGTCCAGCTGATCCAGCCCCTTTGAAGTCAGTGCTAGTGCACCCCTGTTCAGGTCCATCCCAGAACAGAGTTTCCATTAGTGCCAGTGTTGTGTCTCTGCCAGGTGAATAAACTAGGCTGTGGGTCCTCCTAACCCGGACAGAGCCCTGGCACCCTGCCTTGCTTAGCTCTGGGGAACTGGAGTCCTGGTTTCTGGCATTTCGTTCGGCCGTAGCAGTGCTGGGAGACCACCGGGCCCTGTTCAGCCACGCGTGCCTTTCCTTGACCCCTGCAGGAAGCTGGGCTGAAAGAAGGAGACTTTATCATCTCTGTGAATGGCAAGGACTGCAGATGGTCGAAGCACGCAGAGGTGGTGCAGCTGCTGAAGAGCG